TAATCTCCTTACTAGTAATTGGTCTATTCAGGTTTTTATTTCTTCACGAGTCAGTCTTTCTAGGTTGTATATTTAGGAATCTGCCCATTTCTTCTAGGTTGTCCAACTTGTTGGCATGAAATTGTTCATAGTAGTCTGTTAGGATCCATTGTATTTCTGTGGTGTCAATTATAACATCTCCTCTTTCATTTCTGATTTTATTTTTTGAGTTCCCCTCTCTTTTGCTTTTGTTAATTTTAGGTAAAGTTTTATCTTTTCAAAAAGCTCTTAGTTTTACTGATCTTTTCTATTGTTTAAATCTCTATTTCATTTATTTCTTTTCTGATTTTTATTTTTCCTTCTACTAACTCTGGGCTTAGTTTGTTCTTCTATTTCTAGTTTCTTGACGTATAAAGTTAGGTTATTTATAGGAGGTATTTCTTGTCCTTGATGTAGGTACATTTCACTGTGAACTTCCTCAGAACTGCTTTTGCTGCATTTCACAAGTGTAAGTTTGTTGTGTTTCCTTCTGCATTGGTCTCAAGGTATATTTTAATTTCTCTCTGGATTTATTCTTTGGCCCATTGGTTATTCATTAGCATGTTGTTTAATCACCTCGTATTCATGAATTTTCCGTTTTCTTCTTCTACTTAATTTCTAATAGTTCCATATATCATTGTGGGTAGAAAAGATGCTTGATGTGAGTCCAATCTTCTTAAATTTACTAAGACTTGTTTTGTGGCCCACCATATGATCTGTTCTGGAGAATGTTCCATGTGTACTTAAGAAGAATGTGTATGCTCTGGCTTTTGAATGGAATATTTAAGATATGTCATTTAAGTCCATCTAGTCTAATGTCGAGACCAATGTTGACTTATAGATCTTTTGTCTGGATGATTCATACATTGATCAATGCAGGGTATTAAACTCCCCTACTATCATTATATTTCTATCTGTCCCTGCCCTATACAGGGGTGGGCTACAGCAGGTTTGCAGTTATGACCTCATGAAACACAGAGTTTATCTTGTATTATTTATTAGTATTCCAACTTTAAACCTACTATTGCCCACTCCTGTATCTCTAGGTGTTCCTATATTGTGTGCATGTTTACAAAAGTTATATCCTCTTGTTGGATCAATCCCTTTACATTATTTAATGCTTTTCTCTGTTTTTGTTGGAAAGTCTATTTTGTCTGATGTAAGTGTAGCTACGTCAGCTTTATTCTGGTTTCCATCTGCATGGAATGTCTTTTTCCATTCCCTTGCATTCTCTATGTCCTTAAAGCTGATCTGCATTTCTTGTAGCCAGCATATAGTTGGATCTTTTTTTTTAAATCCACTCAGCCATTTAGTGTCCTTAGGAGAATTTACTTCATTTACACTCCAAGTAGTTACTGATACGTATGTTCATATTGCCATCTTATTGATTGTTTTCTGGCTGTTTTGTAACTTCTCTGTTGGATGTATTATGTTTTTGAAATCACAGTTTACATCTATGTATCCATTAACACACTATTGTAGATATAGCCATTTTTACTGCTTTTTAATCTTTTAACCTTCAGAATGGCTTTACATGTGATTCAGCTGCCACCTTAGTACAGTTGGGCATCACTTGAGGACAGGGATACATTCTGCGAGATGTGTCATTAGGCAGTTTTGTCACAGTGCAAACATCGTAGAGTGCACCTACACAGGCCTAGGTGGTGCAGCCTGCGCCACACACCTAGGCTGTATGCCTGCTACTTCTGAAGCTCCAAGCCTGTGCAGCATGTTAATGCATCGAACACCATAGACAACTGTAGCACAGTAGTAAATATTTGTGTGTCTAAACATATCTACACACAGAAGAGCTACAGTAAAATACAGTATAAAAGAAAAAATGGCATGCCTGTATAGCACACTGACCATGATGGGGGCCTACAGGATGGTAATTTTTTACTTTATAAACTTTAATTTTTTTACTTGACTCATGTATTAACACTTATCTTAAAACAAAGACATTGGTACAGCGCTACAAAATATTTTCTTTGTATCTTTTTCTTTGTATCTTTATTCTATAAGCTTCTTCCTATGAAAACTTTTTTGTCAAGAACTAAGATGCCTGCACATTAGCATGGCCTGCACAGGGTCAGGAGCTTCAGTGTCACTCACTGCCTCTCACACTCATGTGTTGTCCCCCTGGAAGGGCGCCAAGTGCAGTAACATGTGGAGCCGTCGTCTCCTTCGACAGCAGGGCCTCTTTCTGGAACACCTGCTGAAGGACCCGCCTGCAGCTCTTCTGGAGGATCAGTCACTCTTTTCAGAAATAGGTCCATGGTGGTTTGCTTGGTTTCCTTTTCTCAGTGTAGATTTTCATCATGCATAATGCAACGTGGACATTCCGTTAATGAAAACCTTTTGGTGTTGGGGGGGCATGTTTTCAAAGTTTTTAAGGAGCTCCTTTGAGGTCTGCTAAAGCTTCTGCTAAGCCATTCACTGTGAGTTTTCTTGGGAGTGGTTCTTTTTCTTCTCTTGCAGTTTCCTTTCCTCTTGCCTTTTCTTCAGTTACGTGTTCCTTTTCCAACAATTTCTCAGTGAAGTCCTCAGGAACCAGCCCTAGGGCTCCTCGATGTCATCCTCACCCATAGCCTTGTTGGTTTTTGCAGGCTCCTCCATCTTGGCCCATCCTTTGAGGTCATGGATGAACCTCAGATGCCATCTGTACACTCTTTGGTCAGGTCACCTCAAGCCCAAGCAGGGGTCTTCAATCAGTTACAGAGGTTGTGGTCCTTCCAGAGCTGCATCTGTGTCGTCCTGTTGCAGCAATGGCCCGGGCAGAGGTCTTCCTCAGCAGTAGGGTTTAAACGCTGCTATAACTCCTTGTTCCATTGTTTGGATTTGATATCGGAAGGAAGATGTCTGTAAGCATTACCAACAACAAACATCATCTTGGCCCTGGCCGGGTAGCTTGGTTGGTTAGAGTGTCATCCTGATAAGACAAGGTTGCAGGTTTGATCCCAAGTCAGGGCACATATAAGAAGCAACCAATGAGTGAATAAATAAGTAGAACAAGAAATCAATGTTTCTTTCTCCAAAATAAATTTTTAAAAAATCTTGAAAGGTATGTTATTCTCCCTGTCATAATTTTCCATTTTGCTGGCATAACAATTCAGGAGGGTGTCCCGGAAAAGAAGCTGGGTCACCCATGACTTCTTAATGTGTGTGCTTCTTGATATGCTCTGGCCCTGGGTTCTCACTGTTCCAGGTCACAGGGATTTCAACCTGTAGCTGCAGCATTACCCCCACTGTGCCCTGAGGGGGTAGCTGGTTAAGACTATTTCCCTACTTTTACAGTCCTATGGGATCTGCAACAGTGAGTCCTGCTGGCCCAGAACCAAGGGATCAGGGGGTGTTCCCTGAGCACAGCCACCACCGCTGGGGCACCAGGTGTGTGCACAAGCTCCTTTCTGGGTGGTACCTGGAGCAAGGCAGAGGCCAAGTCCACAGGATTTGCAGAATACTGCAGTAGGCCTCTAGATGTGCACTTAGTCTCTCAGGCTGAAGGTTTAAAAGCAAATAGGCCTCATCACAGAAGGACTGGGTGCTTTTCAGTCTGCCGCCTGGGCTGGGGAGTCCGTGGTTGAGTCCTGTAAGAACTGTTTCTCAGTTTGCTGTAGCCTTGTGGACACAGCCCCACTGGCTCTCCGTGGGGATCCATCTCTCAGGTGCAGGTCTGAAAAGTTGGAGTCCCCAGCGCGTGGTTCAAACCCTTCACTCCTCAGGGAGAAGCTGGGAGCTGAGTCCCCGCCTGCCTGTGGGTCATACCCGGGCTTTATGACAAGCTTCTGTCTTAGCCTCTCCTTCCCATTTCCACGCGGGGTTTTTTCTCATTTGCCCAGTGTGTGGGAGTCACTCACCTAGTGACTGGGTTTCCTTCATAGGAAGCTGTTCTGTATGTAGCTGCAGATTCGGTTGTGTCCATGGGAGGAGGTGGGTTCAGGATCCGCCAATGTCACCATCCCGTACCATAAGGCTACCTCTTATCTTTTTGATGACAGCCATTCTAACGGGTAAGGTGACACCTCATTCTGGTTTTGATTTGCATTTCCTTGGTGATTAGCGATATTCGTGTTGGCCATTTGTATGTCTACTTCGAGGCCTTTTGCCTAAGAGGGGCTGGAGCCAGTTCACGGGGCACTGCAGGCTGCACACTGGGACCGAGGTCTGGATGATGCATAGGGGGCAAGACTCTTCCTGGGCCCCTCAGTGTATGGTCACTGAATCCCACAGCTCCCACAAATGCACTTATGCTCATGGATGGATGACAAATTTTTGGTTTTGGAGGGTGGACAAAAAATAAGGGGATCTTAGGCTACCATGATGCTAACATCACTTCTCAATCTTTTTATATCTATAACAAGCAGCACTGTCCTATATTCTGCCTGTGGCAGTTCACATACACGGGAGTATTTCTATGAGAAAAAGCCCAGAATCACTAGGTCAAAGGGTATGTGATGCTTTTGTTCAATAGATATAGCTGGACTGCTTTCTACAGCGGCTTATACTAAACCTAGAGTCTGAGAGTGTCTATCCCCCACACCTGGGCTCAGTTTGTCAGAAATAGCAATTTATCGAGGCTTTGATTGGCATTTATCTTACTATGAGAGAGGGTGAGATGCTGTTCCTACATTTGAGAGGTTTATAATACCTTTCCTGTGAACTATCCACATCCTTTGTGCATTTTTTTGTCTCGGGTTTTGGTCTTTTACTTCTCAATTCCCTGAACCTGTTTCCTTTTTGATAGGAGTGACAAATATTTAGAATATCTTCTTAAAACAAGATTACCAAGGACCCCAAACACAGAAAGCAAAAGAGAGGCTCGGTCGGAGGTCTGGGCAGGAGCCACAGAGTGAGAAAGGGGCCTTGACGGGTGCCCTTGTCCTGGAGTCCGGGCTGTGGGTGATGCCAGGGTTTGGGATGCCGACCTGGGCCGACTTCCCAAAACTCACCTGCCTCTTCCTGCGCCGCATTTATGTCCCCAGCTCATGTGCTCGTCGGTGCAGAAGGCCCTGTTTGAGGAGGAGGACCATGTCAAGAAACTGCAGCAGAAGGTGGCCACCCTGGAGAAGCGGAACAGGCAGCTCCGGGACCGGGTGAAGAAGGTGAAGAGGTCGCTGCGGCAGGCACGGAAGAACGGCCGCCACCTGGAACTGGTCAACCAGAAGCTCAGTGAGAAGCTGGCAGCCACCACAGGAGCCATCCCGCACATCAACGCCCTGGAGCGGGAGCCCGCACGCGGCACCTACCTGCGGGGATAGCGGGGACCCCGAGGTGCCACAGCCAGCACTGCTGGGGTGCCTTGCCTCTCGCCAGGGTGTGGAAAATGATGGTGATGTTGAACGTGCATGTATTCCAGACCTTGTAGAAGATGTTTTTTACTTTGCATTGGGTAGTGTCTAGTTGGCTAAAGGGCAGGTCCCGTTGCTCCTACCTGGCCCAGCTCCACACATGGTGCTTGGCAGTCCAGAGGCAGCAGGATCAAGCAAGCTGTGTGCTTGCCTGGGGCCTGTCCTCAGTTTCTGGGACTGGCCTGCAAAGTGCAAATACTGGGGAAAGGACACTTTAGACTCTCTAGATACATGAGACTGCAAGGAGGTTGGCCTTTATTTCAGAAGAGGCGGCAGTGCAGCCTCAACTCTGAGCTCTAGAATGACTAGTTTTGAGGAGTGACCTGAATTCAGTCATGGAACTGCCCAGTGTCTCATTTTCCAGATCTTTGGAAGGACAGTGGCCTTGCAAAGCTCCCAATGATGCCTGTAAGTAGCAGGTGCAGGGTGTCCCTACTCCAGCCAGCATTTTCTCCCAGCTGAGGCATGTGAAGACTTAATGAACTCGGCACAGGTAAGGGAACTGAGTTGGGCAGCAGGCCATTAAAAAGATACCTTATACCTGATTTCCAATACCAGCTGCCCAGAGCTGAAAGTGACAGCTAGGGTTCACTTTAATCAAGAGAGACATAGCCTCATGGGCCTGCCATGTTTTATCGCTCCATGTTCCTAAGGGAAAACCCTGAGTAGCATTGCAGCCCCTTTTAAATTTTTATTGTTTGCTCAGTAATTTCTTCCCACTTTTCCAAATTGAAGGTGAGCTTCCCTAATACTCTGGACTTCTGTAAAAACACCTCCTTACCTAGGAGGACCAGGTGACCTTACCTCATTCCCAGGCAGGCCTTGTTCCAGGTGTTCTCATCTCCTCCTGCTGTATGCAGATGCTTTCCACCCACTGGGATGGACCTTGCCCTGGAGTAACGTTTGTACATCAGTCTGCCTGTCTTGACTGCACCTGTACCCAAGTAAAACACTTCATCCCCTTGGGAAAGAAACCTTTAAAGACAGCCCTGCAAGAAAAGAGCAGAGTGTTCACTATACCTGACGCTGGAGCTCTTGACTTAGGCTCATGTGATCAGGCCCCAGTTGTGTCATTAAGAAGTCATTTGAGTGTCCTGTCGGTGATCTTCTATTGATGGTAGAAGATAATGACCTTTCCCTTCCCTGCTTGTCCAGATAGAAGCTTCTGGCCCTTCACTGGGGGGTCTGCTACCCACAGACCACCCAAGACACCACAGGGCCGGAATGTTCTGTCTTCTCCATTAGAAGTGGCAGTTCCTGTCAGGTGTCCATCCCACTGGCAGCCAGTCTGAGGACTGGACCTTGTGTCACTTGAGTCTCAATGGCAGGCTCCTGCCGCAGGGGCAGACTCTGTCTTGGACTGAGTGGCACTGGAACTTTTGGCTCGAGGGCTCTTCGTTTCCAAGCTTCTACCTGCACTTTGTTAGTTCATGCTTCAGTGGGGTACAGTGGAGGGGCATCTTCTGGGTTACTCTTCCTGGGGACATTCCCTCAGAGCGGTTGTGCTTTCGGTGAAGGGATGACAAGCCCAAGGGTGACTTACAGTCACTGTGGGAAGAATGTGGGAGCTGGGTCTCTACATCTGCACTATGTCTCCCTTTTCAATAAATATGAGCAATATTTCAGCCACAACAATAAAGCGACCCTGTCTCTCTCTGCGTGTCCGTCTCTCAACACCTGCAGAGAAACAGTGCTGTCCTGGCCTGCCCCACATGAGGGACAGCAGCTTCAGTAATCAGTGTCATCAAACGCACCCTCAGATCAATTGCCAAAGGGAACTAACTCCCTGGGTCCCTGTTATCTGCCGCGTTGCCATCTTAACCACGGTCCTTGCCACTTGTTTATTGTACTGGCAGGAACTTTTTCATGCAAGAATATTCCAGCTATAAACACTCACCAGAACTTGATATATGTCAGCCAAATTCTCCTAGCCCAATCTCTGAGGTGCAGGCCATGGTTCAGGCCAAAGTCATATAATAAACAAGAGGCAGATAGAATCTAGAATCTTTTTAAATAGAGTCCCCAAGAGTCACAAGCTGGTAGCATGTGCGCCACACCTAGTGTGGGGAAGAGGTTTCTTGGGCCTCACCATGGTGTGTGAATGTGAACACCTTCGGTGGCTTCAGTTAAGGCCACTGTTTCTATTGCTGTAGCTCCTGTTTTTAGGGTGCAGCACTAGGCTGCGTCACGCTATGGCACCTGCCTGGAAACAGAAGTTAACAGGGATTCTCTCAGGGCCCCACCCTCCTTCGGGGAGAGAGAACACGAACTCAGATCACAATGACCGAACCAACTGTTGGCCTGGCATCAGTCCACTTTCCACGCTGCTTTAAAAACAATCGAGCACCCAGCTTGTGCGAGGCTCTTTCACACACATCACAATTCTATAAAATAGTGCCCCCGATTTCCATTCTCCAAGAGGAATCTGGGGCTTCAAGGGATTAAATAAATCATCCAATGCACACAACTGGTACAGGTGGCTAGTCAAGGTTCAACGCCAGCTTCACTTCTCTTTTTATACTTACTCATCTGTGAAGTGGGGATAATAATCACACCTGCCTCAAAGACTGTTAAGAATACTGAAATTATTCAGTATTCCTGGCAGGGTGCCTGACACTCCACAAGCACTCAAAAGATGTGACTTACAATAATTTTTATCATAAATGCTCACCAGAAAGGTCCAACGTGAGTGAGAAATAAAAATATTTGGTGGGACTCTAATTTTCTTATTAATCTTTACCATAAACTTCAGCCTCTTTTTGAATTGCTTCTCATTTTATTTCTGAGCCACCTCCTTCTCTTTCATAATCAGTAGATATCTGTTCCTCCACTATATTTACTGAGAAAATACAGTCCATGAGAAATGTGTGTCCTCAACTTCCTAGCATGTCACTCACACTTCTTTCTCCCACCTCAAAGGAAGGATCTCGCTACTTCCCACATCTGGGGTCAACACCTCCCTATGTTACCTCGAGTTCATATTGCTTCTCTCCACACCAGGCTCCACCAGAGTTCCCTCTTCTATCATACGTTTTTTTTCCTCACTGGGGACTTCTGCCATTACCTACCCAGCCAAGCTCAGATCTGCTCATCCTTGGACCGAAAAACAAACAAACATAATTTGGAAAGTATTTTTTTCTTAAATTTTATTTACTTATCTTTAGAGGGGAAGGGAAGGAGAGAGGGAGAGAAATATCAATGTATGGTTGACTTTCGTGCATCCCCTGCTGGGAACTGGCCTGCAACCCAGGCGTGTGCCCTGACTAGGAATCGAACCACGATCCTTTGGTTTGCAGGCCCTTGCTCAATCTATTGAGCTACACCAACCAGGGCAATTTGGAAAGTATTGAGGTGGTCTTCACAGATGGTGACATAGAAGGCTCCTGAATTCTGCCCCTCCCATAGACATACCTGAATGAAAAGCTGCACAGAGAGCAATTTCCTCTAAAAGACATTCAGAAACTAGCTGAGTGCCTCTCATTTGTCTGGTGAACAAGACAATACTCGAAATGAGTAGGAAAGACTGAGATACACTCTGGCAATAAACCCCACACTTAGCCCCCAACTTTTAAAACTTTCACCCAAAGGATGAGCCCCAAAACATCTAGCCCTGAAAGCCAATGGAGTTTGCATCCAGGAGACCACAAGACTAGAGCAAACTACCCAGAGGAAGCTGTTGCCCCAGGATCAGTGTGTAGGGGCAGAAAAAACACACCTGTTTCTGTCTTTTCCTGAATGAGGACTATCAGCACACTTTGACAGCTGCTGCCCGAGGGCCAGGCCAGGCTTCTAAATTAGCACACTTCTAGGGCTTGCTGAAGTCTTCCCCGGACCCAGAAAACCAGTGGACACCTTCTCTGCCCTCTCCCTCTAGACTGCTCCAAGTCACCAGTATCTCCTCGGATGGAACTTGTACACTCCTCTGTGATTCAGATGGGTCTCCAGATCACATGGCTCTGGTAGCCAATGGGGCTTCCACTCAGGACTCCCGCAGGGCCATACCAAACAAAGAAGTTCTTTCTGCCCATCCCCCCAGGGCTCAATGCCCATCTCCCAGTCTTTCCCTGAGGAGGTCTATTTGCATAGTTCGAGCTGCAGGCTTCTCACTCAGCAGGCACCTGGAGGCTGACTACATCCTTCCCAAAGGCCCGGAAACTGGCATGCACCTCCTCTGCCCTCCCCCTCTAGCCCACTCCAAGTCTGACTGGTTTCTCCCTGAAAGGAGCTTATGCACCTGTCTGTTGCCCAGCTTTGGGGGCTGTCACCTGAAGGACAGGCCTCTGAACTGCCTGACCCTGGTAGTTAATGAAGCTTGCATTCATGAGTCCCACAGGACTGCAGCAGATGAAGAAACAGTTCTTAGCAGGCTCAGGAACACCATTTGCAACTTCATACCAAGGCCCAGCACTGAGGGGAGCAAGCAAAATTCCCACCTCCCAGTTCCTCCCCAGAGACGCCTAACTGTTGGATTGGCCAAAAAGTCTGTTTTTTTCCATAAAATAAAAGATACACTTTTCATTTTCACCAATAACTTTATTGATTTGGATATTTTGAGTATGTCAGCTATCTCCCATGTGGTATAATGTTGATTGTTCTCAATCAATGTCTTGATTTCATCACTATCAACTCCAACTGGTCTACCTGACTATGGAGCATCATTCAATGAGAAATCTCCAGCACAAAACTTTGTAAACCGCTTCTAACACGCTTGATCATTCATAGCACCTTCTCCATACATTGCACAAAACTTTTTTGCATTTCACTTGTGTTTTTACCTTTCTTAAAATAATAAAGCATAATATGCCAAAAATGTTGATTATTCTCTTCCATCTTCAATATTAAAAAGGTTACACAAGCCCTGGCTGGTGTAGCTTTGTGGGTTGAGTGCCAGCTTACAAACCAAAAGGTCATTGGTTCAGTTCCCAGTCAGGACACGTGTTTGGGTTGTGGGCCAGGTACCTGGTTGGGGACATGTGACAGGCAACTAATAGTTTCTCTCACACATCCATGTTTCATTCTGTCTCCCTCCCTTCCTTTCCCTCTAACAGTTAAAAAATTAAAAATGAATAAATAAAATTGCTACACAAAAATTGACCAATTTTTGATAAGTTTTTAAAAAAATGCACACTGATATGATAGCTGTCACCATACAATCTAACAAAATTGCTCTGAGTGAAGTTAAAAACAACTAAGGACTACTGGAGCCATCTTACAAAAAAAAACAAATGAACTTTTTGGCCAACCCAATACTTCCTTTCCCAGCTGGTGCCTTAAGATGAAGCTTCCAACAGGCCTGCCTGTAGCTGCTGACTGAGCTTCTCCTCTTTGGGGCACTGACAGGTCTTGGCACACCGAACTACTGGGAGCCACCAGGAACAGTCACAAAGGTCAGAGACACAACCAGGAGCACAAGCCAGGCTGGTCGATGATGACACTTATCTTCTTCACCACACCAATCTGTTGGATCGGAAGAGGTGGCTGTTTTATTTAGTGCACGGAAACCAGCACAGAGAGTCAAGGAAAATGAAGAAACAAAAATATGTTCTAACCAAAGAACAAGATGAAACTCCAGAAACAGATCTTAATGAAACAGATATGAGTTACCTGATGGTGAGTTCAGAATAATGGACATAAAGATGGAGAGCACGCATGAACAAAGTGAGAATTTCAATGCAGCTAGAAAGTGTAAAAAAGTACCAAACAGGTCACAGGGCTCAAGAATACAATAACTGAAGTAAAAAATTCAACACAGAGGTTCAACATCAGATTAGATCACAGAAAAAAAAAATCAGTAAACTCAATAAGGTAGTAGAACCATCCAGCCAAACAAAAGACAAAAGACTGAGGACAACTTAAGGGACGTGTGAGATACCATCAAAGTTACCAAAATACACATTTAAAGGAGTTCAGAAGGGGAAGAGAGAGAAAGCTAACTCAAAGAAATGTTTGAAATCTCCTCTAACCTGGGGGAAGCTTAGATTCCCAAAAAAGATGACTGTAAAGAGACCCATAGTGAGATACATTATAATTAAATTGTCAAAATTAAAAACGAGAAGAAAATGTTAAAAGCAGCAAGAGAAAACCAACTTGTTTCATACAGGGAATCACCATAAGATTATCAGTGATTGTTAGATTTTTTTTTAAAAGATTTTATTTAATTTTAGAAAGATGGGAAGGGAGAAAAATATTGATGTGCGAGAGATACATAGATTGGCTATCTCTTGCACACCCCCAGCTGGCGACCTGGCCCACAACCCAGGCATGTGCCCTCACTGGGAATCAAAACGATGACCTTTTGATTTGTGGGCTGGCACTCAAGCCACTGAGCCATACCAGCCAAGGCAGATTGTTCAATTTTTTTAAAATAGAAACTTTGAAGGCCAGAAGAGACTGGGATGATGTATTTAGCGTGCTGAAAGAACAAAACTATCAATCAAGAATACCCTACCCAGCAAAGATGTGCTTCAGAATTGAAGGAGAACAAGATATTAAATATGGAAAACCATAAAGATGTCAACCCCCCAAAAAAACACAGAATAAGTAAATTCAGTAAAGTTGCAGGATACAAAATCAACATATGAAAATCAGTTCCACTTAAGTTATCCTTCAGAACTATAGAAGAAAGAATTTTCTAGTCAAG